GTGTGTGTGTGTGTGTGTGTGTGTGTGTGTGCTGTATATGCTTGCACTGCCAAGATGCTTTATAAGCTTCCTGTCTTTGGTCCTTGCATGTGAAGCGCTGTATGATTAAGTGTAGTAACCACAGTGTGCAGGTCATCACAAGAATAGATCTCTGTGTAGGGGGACCTCTGCTCAGGGGACAGTGGCCCGTTGGCCTCTCTAGCCTCCTTCTCTAGCTCCACTCCAGCTCTCAGGGTCCCTGACACACCCACCCCTCTATGGCAAGCAGCTCGGCCTCCTCTCCACTCCCTCTTCTTGCCACTTCCCAGGCCCACACTAAATTGTCCCTCCTTCAGTGTAGCCCAGAGGTCACCTCCTCCAAGAAGCCTTCCTTGTCCTGCCACACCCATGACCTAGGCTGATGAGAAGCCCCTGCCCTCATATTTTCCTCTACGTGGCACTCATGGCTACCATGCAATGCAGCCCCGTGGGTCTGCCCTCCTGCCTCTCCCACCTCTGAGGGCCTGCTAGGATGGGGGCAGGGAATGAACTGTGAAGTGATGACTCGGGGCTCAGGATGCAGAAGAAAACCGAGCAGCAGTAAGTAATGTGCTCAGGACTGGAGGCAGACAAGACAGTTTAAAGCAAGGCTGCAGAGTGAGTGGCAGGTGTGAAGGTCAGGTGGATATGCTCCAGTATACCCACTTAACAGCCGTTCCAAGGAAATTATGAATGGCAGCCCTTTCTATTCTCAAAAAAATCTGTTTCAGATGATAAGCTATAGTCACTGTTATGAGTTAAATTGTGTCCCCCTAAAATTGATACAATGAAGTCCCAACACTCAGTAACTCAGAATGTAAGCACATTTAAAATAATGTCTTTAAAGAGGTCATTATGTTCAAATGAGGCCATTAGTATGGGGCTCTAATCCATTACTACTGGTGTCCTTATGAAAAGAGGAAGAGACACCAGGAATTCATGTACAGAGAACTGACCCCATGAACACACAATAGGAGTGTGACCATCTGCCGGCCAAGGAAAGAGGCCTTGGGAAAACCAGCCCTGCCAGCACCTTGATTGTGGACTTCCAGCCTCCAAAAGTGGGAAGTGGCAAGTGAACTCTTTAAGTCACCTGGTCTGTGGTGAGCTGTTTAGGCAGCCTGAGCAGGCTAGTCCAATCATCTCGCCTTATAAGAACCAGAGCCAGGTCTCTACCTGGAAAGCCACAAGCTGGCCTTCCACTGACATTCTCCTTACCTATGCATCAACCAGGGTCCTGGAATCTAAGCTGGGAGTTCAATGTGCAGAGGAGACACAGAGATCCAGCTGCAGGGAAGAGGCTGGGAATGGTTATGACAGCCTTGTGTGTACACAGCTGTGTAAAACAGGATGTAGATCTAACCACATACAGGTATATGTACCTGGGTGCTGGGGAAGGGGAGGTGAGAGGCTGATCCCCTCAAGACAGCACTTCAGAGGAAAACACTACCCTGTGGTCAAAGGCTCCTTGCTCCTAGAGACCTGAACTGGCCTCCTGCCCTGCACCACCTTCCCTGGGTTCAATGGAGCATTTATGTCCAGAGCCCCACTGACCAGAAGCATGTCCGGCAAGAGATGGTAGTGTTGTCATCTACGCAATCCTGAGCCCTTACACATCATGGTAGAAGTGGTTACGTGGGTTCCATAGCTTAGCTTTAGAATCACATACATGTTTTTCTAGATTATGGTGCTGCTACTTCCTAGGTAACCATAGGCAAGGAACTTACCGTCTCTGAGTCTCAGTTTTCTCAACCAGAAATGGCAGCCATTATAGTATCTACTAACGGGGTTGTAGTGAGGACCCAAATAATGTATGCAAAATGCCTACCACAGTGCCTGGCACATAAAAACACTCGCTAATGACAGCTATTAGTATTACTAGGTCCTCAATATGGCTTTGTGGAAGCTCTTGAGCTTCTGCCATCTGGGTCTTGCCTGTCTCGTTCAGCCTGTGTATTCTAGTACCTTGCATTGCACTTCGCACATAATTAGAGCTCAATAAAAATTCAAAGTATTTAATAAAATGACTGGATTAGCAGGCCTCGATTTTCTTTATGGCTGGAAAGTGAGAAGGATAGCTTATGAAATCCAGAGCCCTCCTGGATTTCCTGGACAGACTAGGAATCCAGGGAGATCTCAGGAACAGCCTTTTCATGACACCTCCAAGGGGCCTGTCCTGTCTTCTGCTGCTGGCAGGCAGAATAAAAAGCCAAGGACATATTAAAGGGCTGGTGTCACCTGCACTAGTTAAGAAGAAAGGGGATGTTTGTTTCTATATGGGTCCTTGTGTGCATCCATGTGTCACTGGGGCCTGATAGAGTGCTCACTCACTGCCATTCTACTTGGCAGGAAGCTAAGGATGCTCCAAGCATCACCTAGGAGCTGGAAACTGAGACAGCTCCATTGCCAACACTTTGCTCAGAAAGACACTCAGCCCCAACCCCGAAAGGAGATAATACCACCTTGAGTTGGTAATGTGCTCACTGGGACAGAAGCATGCACACATGCCAGCCTTTCTCTCCAGCCTTGGCTCCACTTGGCATTGCTCCACCATCCTCCACTATGCAGGTTTTGGTGGCATTGCCTGTGAGGAATCCATGGCTAGGAGAAGTCAGGACTAGGTCAAGGGCAGCCCACTCGGTGATAAGAAAGGCAGAGGGAATATATGATCCTTCTCCAGGTAAATGACATGTTAGACCAGAACACTGGGCAGCTGGCTGTGTCTTCCTTATGCCAACTGAATTCTCTCTGAGCCCTAAGATGTGGACTGCCAAGACAAACAGGTCACAGGGCACTGGAGTTGAGGTTGTTTGGATATTTACTCCCCAGGTAAGCTGTTGGCAACCCTTCACTTCTCTGCATTAGGGAGGTAGAAAATCTGGCATTTGGAAGATCAGAAGGTGATCAGACACTGACCCAGCAGGGATGCCCAGTCCATGAAGGGCAATTCCACATAGCAGGTACAGAAAACACAGAAAAGAAATCATGGTTCCCTCTCCCTTCCTGACTCAGGTCTTCTTAAGATGAGCAAAAAGCATGTAACACCAGATGTCACAACTGTCTCTGGGTGTAAGCTTTGTGTCTGCCTTCTCCTCTAGAATGGGAGTTCATGGGGCAAGAGCTAGTTCTCCCTTGCTCACTATTGCGCCCATAATGCTGAGATGCCGGAGATACAGTGCTGGTGCAAAAGAAGGAGAGGAAGGAGGAGAATGGAGTCAGGGCAGAGAGAAGACTATGAGTCATTGGATAACCGGAGCTGAGAAGACTGCCAGTTTCCAGAGATGGCCAGGGAAATGAGCTGAAGCTGAGGACCTTGAAGCTCTGGGGCAACTGCAAAGAACTATGAAAATGAACATCTTTGGTTGTCTCCACTGAGGAAGCAACCCTGCTTCCAGGTTTCGAGTCCCTTCCAATGAGGCAGGCAGGCAAGAATGAAAGGACTATCCCCCCAACTCTTTCCCCTCTTCCTGGAGCCCTCTCTGCCTCGGGAGGCTTGCTCTTTCCCCTTCTCCCACACACAAATGGATTGCTGGCTTGCCTCTCAGTGGGCTGGTTAATAAGCCCTTGGGTGACATGAATTGCCACCAGGCACTACGGGCCTAATGAGAATCATCTTCTTTAACTACTCCAGCACCTCCTATACCCAGGACCTGCAAGAGCCAGGCCAGCCCTCTCCGGGCTGCATCTCCAGTTCCAGGCAGATGTGGGGGTGGGGGAAGGGCTAGAGCAGCTCCCCTGGGTACCAGTGCCAAGCTGAAGCAGGGACACAGCCAGCAGCCAGAGTGGAGGGAGGATTTCAAGAGCGATCCAAGTCCATTTTCCATAAACAAAACGCCACTTTTCTGGATGAAAGGGAACTCACAGAGTCAGGAAGGCTACAAAGGAGTCAGGCAGACAGGGCCTGAGGGTTAAGCACAGGGTCCAGCATCACTGGTGGCTACCTTGTCCCACCCTCAATCTGACTGCATGGATAAGTGGGGAGGGGTGAACCTAAAGACCCATGTCCCCTCCCAAGAAGGATTGTGTTCATAGGATTGAAGACCTGTGCTGCCAAGGGCTGGCTGGAAACTAGGCCTTTGAGGATTGGGGCATGACACCGGGTGCTATAAAATCATTGCCATTGATCCAAAGACTGATAGACGGTTGACTTGTAGGGTCTGATCTTGGTTGCATTCTAAGGGAAGGGGCCTGGCGGTGCTGCTCCTCTCCCTTGTCAGCAGGTGCCCGGTCGAGTGTGCAAGAGGAGGCCATTCACCCCCACCCCAAGCAGGGCCTTGCAAAACAACCTGTAAGCAGACAACCCCTCCTCTCCTCCCCCTTCTTCTGCCGGCCAGCTGGGTCTGCCCCAGACTGCGCCTCCAGCTCCTCCGCTCCTCCGCGCACCGCACCGCACGAAGACGCAAAAACCCAAGAGCTCTCACGCGGCCGGATCCGAGAGGAGTTGGGCGCGGCAGCTAGGCTGACTCCCACCCTGGGTCCCTGGAAAGCCCCAAGCAGACTCTGGGGATGGGGGTAAGGTGCCCCCTACCCGCGCCTCTGGCAGAACGGCCGCAGAACACCTCCGGCTCCCGGCGGGGAGCTTGCATCCTTTGAAAAGGGACGTCGGCGACTGCGGTAGCATCTACACGGGAGAAACGCAGTCACCGCAATCGGTCGGCCCCTCTCGGTTCCAGCGCTAGGTTGCGTTAGGGAGGAAAAATAAACGTAAAACAGAGGAGAAAGGAAGTGCGAGGTGTGCCCCTGCCCGAGTCTCATTAAAGAGCCGAGCGCGCCCCCAGGCTGGGAATGCGGAATGGACACGTGGACAGACTAGGGGGAGCTGGGGGCGGGGGGAGTCTCCGTGGCGCGCGAGCCGTGGGCTGCGCGCTCTGGGGCCACGTGACCACGGGGAATCTGGGAGGGGAGGGAAAGAGAAGGGAGGGGGGAGCGAGCGCGCCAAGCTCAGAGCCCGCTCCTGCCCGGGTGGGCGCTGAATCCCGGACCCGAAAGGAAGGCGGTGAACGCGAGTGTGTGTCTCTCTCGAGTCATTTACGGCGGAGCAGCCGGCGCGAGCGCCGAGGAGGAGGCGGCGGCGGCGGCGACTGCTTCGTGCAACTGTGCCACCCCCCCGCCCCCGCCTCCTCTTCCTTTTTGCTCCTTGATTTTTCTACCCCCACACATGTCCATGGGGAGCCGGCCCCCCTACCGGCATCTCCTCTCCACTCGGCCCCGTAGGCACCAGCTGCCGCCTCCCCAGCCGGGGGCTGAGCAGGTGCTGGGTGCCCTGGCCCCGGGCTGCGCGCCCGCCTGTCGCCACCCGCAGCCCGGACTAGCGTGGCGATCCGCTCGCCCAAACTGACTCGGAGAGAGCTTGAGCAGATGCCCTGCCGCACCCACCCAGACGGTGGGAGAGCCAGCGTCCAGGGGCAGGGCGGGGGCGCAGGGAGGAGGAGGCGTCGGAGACGCTGAACCCCGGAAAAGTTCAAGGTTTGTGCAGGTCCCCCCAGGGAAGGCGAGGAGCGAGGCGGGGCAGAGCGCCCCTCTGCTGAGACCGCGAGACCTGAGAGAAAAGAGGGGTGGCCCGGAGCTGTCGCGGGCTGGCTGAGCCCTTCTTCATCCTGCAGCGTGATGGGTTGGAGGCTGGAGTCGACGCCCGGAGCAGGAAGGGCCCGGGTCCGCGCGCATTAGCTGGTTTTCCCGCTCCCTCGTTTCTCCAAGCTCAGTCTCCATGGGGCAGCCGGTTCCAGCCGCGCCACCCTCGCACCAGTCGCGGAGCCGCTGCCGGGCCAGGCGGCGCGGAGCCGGCCTATGCTGAGCGCTGGCCCCGGTAGAGACGAGGGAGCGCGCTGGAGTCCAAGAGCGAGCTCTGCGAGGGGACAGACATCTGGACGCCCACCTCGAGCTTTCCAACTGGGCGTCGCCTAGGGTGGTGGCGACCGGCGTCGCCCGTCTCGGCAGTGCACGGAAACTTTTCCTTCTCCAGATGGATTAAAGTTGTCTGGATTTTCTCTTTCTTTGCGAAAGAAATCGTTCATTTGCACCTGACCTGGGATTTTTATGTCGGGCTGCTGCAGGGCTCTTGGAAGAGGAAAGCGCGCTCTCCATGAGGGGTTACCGCCGAAACCAAGGAATTGGGGCTTGTTTTGGAAACCTGCACCCTTGAGCGAGTTCGGATTCGAGCTGGGCCGGGAAGCCAGAAGATCCCACACTTCGCTCTAGGCAGCCCCCGGGACGCCAGCGGCCACCGGGCCCCGGGACCGCACGTGCGGCTCCCCCCTCGCCTCACAGATCCTGCAGGGGGCACCAGCCCAGGGAGGTGGAGGCTCCTCCCGCCCGGAGCTGCGCCCCCACCAGCTCTGAGGGTGTAGCCCGTGGCGCCTGGGACGCCCCCACCTCTCAAAGTGTCCCCGAATTGTGCTCCCTGGACCCCTAAGTCTCGGCCGAGACAGCTGGGCGCCACGGCCACGCTGAGCTAGATGTAATCAAGCCCAGCTTGGGGCCAAGCCGTCGTCGACTGTTGCCCCTCGGACCCTACCCCCTCCACCTCGCCATGGCCCGGGAGATGTCGGGCCGCGGTGGCGCCGCCCTGCTCTGCCTCTCGGCGCTGCTCGCCCACGGTAAGTGTCGCGGCGCAGACTCCGGGGTGAAGATGCGGCGGGCGCCCCTGGAGGGGGCACGGGGAGGACCGCAGAAAGAAGAAACCCCATCCCCACCCCTTCTGGATTCTCCCGCGGGCTCTCAGCTCGCTCTGCAGCTCCGGATACCCCGGCCCTTGAGCCCTCCAGCGGGAACTGGGGCTGGAGCCCGCCGAGGGGACCAAGCCGGGCCCCAGAACAGGGTGGGGGAGGGGGTCGTTCCAATCTTCTCCGGTTGGAAAGAAGGGTCCAAACCCCAGAACGTGGGGGCGTGTCTGCCTACAGAAATCTAGAGAGATCTATTAGATCGCGCCGGGGCGCCCCAACGGTGGTGTTCCTTGCAGCCAGCCGGGCCGGGGGCTGTTGGGATAGCGTCTTGCCGGCCCTGACACGCAGGCCGGTGCGGGGCCGCGTCACCCGCTGCCTGGCTTCCTGCGGCGATGCTCGGGAAGGGAAGTGGAATGACAGTGGCCGGGAGCCGTGGCTGCCCGCCCGCCTGCCGCCCGCCCGCCGCCCGCCGCCCGCGGTCCTGTGAGCTGCATCTAAATGGCCGGCTTAGCTAGCCCGAGGGCGGGGGTCTGGGCAGCGGGCGCGGGCCGGGCCGCAGGCGGGCAGCGCGGAGGGAGCGGGCTCCGCGATCTCGCGGTCTGCAATCTGTTGCGTCTGCTCCCCAGGCTCGCCCGGGGCTCCGCGTTAAAGGGGTGGGACCAGGAGGGGCGAGGGTTGGCACGCGTCGGCAGTGGGACAGCAGGGGTACAGGTGGGGGCAGAGGATCTCTGAGCAACCCTCCCTCCCCCAATGAGAACTCAGACCAGACGCGAGGAGGCTGCAGCGGGCCTTCCGCAAGCTGGAGACACTCCAGGAGGCGAGGGGCGCTGACCCAGAGGGAGGGCCAGAGCTGCTGGAAGGAGGAGGATGAAGTGCGGCCCTCTGTTCCCTCCTGGTGTGTAAGCAGCAGACCCGGAAAACATTTCTCCAACCATAGGGTGAGGGGTGCTTCGATGTTCCACGCTGAGGGGTGAGCAGCAGACAGGATAGAGGGCCTCCGTAGAGCGGGCAGTGAGCACTCTGCCTGGTGGAGGACCCTCTGTGCCTCGTGCATAGCTTTTCCCCAGATATGCAGGGCCCTGGGAGCCTGTCCAAACATGCCAGTAGCGCTGGAGGTCTCTAACCAGGGCCTAACTGGGCCAGCCAGGGAGCATTCTCAAGGTTGAAAGAAGAAGACAAAGAACGGACTCTAGAATAGTATGAACCTGGGGCTAGGAGGGTGGTGGAAGCAAGCTGACCTTCTATGGGCGGGTTGGAGATCAACCTGCTGGAGGCTGGGGTGACCCCAGGGGAGCTGTTGTGATCCGTTCCCTAGAGACAGTTAACCTCCGGTCTTTAAGGAGTAATGGGCCGGACAGAGCCCCAGCAGGGAGTAGGGTCAGGGTGCTAGGACTGCAGCAGGAAGTAGAAATCTCCCACGGGGTGCAAGTCTGAGAATGAGGAGGGGTTGGGTGGGCCGCCTGTCTGCACACTGGAGCTTCAGGGGCTGGTTTGTGACTTGGCCTGGGAGCCAAGGAGTAAAGTGTTCAGCAGGAGGAAGCCAGGAGCTCAGGCCTGGGTCTAAGCATGGTTCTCACTCGTCTTGCATGTTGCTGTCAGAGTTCTTGGTCCCCAAAGCCAGCCATGGGCTGCTCAAACACTGTCACGTCTCGAGGTGCCCCTGCCCCCTCCCTCAGTCTGACATTAAAGGTTCTTCACCCCCTGTCTGCTCTCTAAGCCCTGATTCTGGCAGCCTTTGTGTCCTGCCTGCAGGTCCCTGTGAGTGTGAGCTCTGCCCCTTTTTTCCTGAGGCACCAGTGCTTTCTGTGCCAGGTAATCCTGGGGCAGTAGGTCAGAGCCATGGGCTTGCACTTCTGTCTGTCCACACAGCGAGGGCCAGCACCGTGCCAGCACGCAGTGCTCAGGGCCCCACAGCAGGAGAAGGGTCCTCAAGGAAGTGGGGTTGCGACCTCACCGAGCAGGCAGGCGTTCCCCATTCAGGCTCTCTGACTTCCTTTCCAAGCTCCTTCGCAGAGACCAGAAGTCCTTTTGATCTCATGCCTCAGTCTCCCCTTCCTCAGGGAAGGATGCCAGCAGATGTTTAAAATTTGAAGATTCCCCCCTAAATGAGTAAGGCCAAAAAAACAGAAATCGACTCCGTCAAGAAACAACACGAAACAAAGTTCATGTCCCCTGGACCATCCTCCTCCACGGCTTCCTGCCGCTCCTTCCTCTGTTAGAAAAAGGTTCATGGCCTTAATCTCAAGTCAAGCCAACTCTTGCTGGGTATTCTGGGCTATTCCAAGATGCTGAGGGTGGGGGCAACTGCAGTTTTTCATGCCTGGCAGGCTGCTAAGACCACAGGATTCTGACCACACAGCCAGCCAGGAGACCAAGTAGCCTGAGTTTCTGTCTGCCTCTGGCGCCACTGGGCAGGGTGACCTTGGGCTGCCTGCCTCATATCCCCCAGCTTCCATAGGGAGTGTGGTCTCTGGCCCATTCTTTCTCCCTTTCTGCCAGGACTGCTAGCAGAGATCACATGTGGATAGAGCCCCGCTCCCTTTCAGGGCCTGCTCAGCCTGTGGGCCTGCAGTATGGTGTGTCTGGGCGTCCCCTATAGTGTTCCCAGTCTCAGGGCTCTGTCTGGAGAACATCTATGATGGTCTCCTTCTTGTATCTGTTTTGAGGGAGACTCTCCTCCATTTTTACTTTTGAATGGGAGTTCAAGGGAGCAAGGTAGTGGTTAAATCTGTTGGGGAGCTGATTAGATCGGTTCCCTTACTCAGTAATTTTGCTGGCTCCCTTCTGCTTACTGGATCAAGGACACAGTCTTTGCCTGGGCATCTAAGGTCCTTTACAATTTTGTCCTCATCTGCATCTTCCTACCCATAGGACAGCCCTTGGACATCCTCTTATGTGCCTCATGAATCACCCCTCTTCTCACTCTCCTGCCTTTTTGTTCAGCACCTGCCAGCCCCTCCATCTGGAACACCCTTTCTCCAGAAATTCTTGTTTAGCCCAAATTCTTGTTTAGCTTCAAAGCCCAGCTCCAACCTCACCGCCTCCATGGAGCCTTCCTTGATTCTATCTGGCTCTTTAGTGGGCCCTCTGCCCGCACATGAGGACTTCAACACTCTCTGTTGCTACCTTGGCACTAGATGCTGTCTTTCATGCATAGCTGCCAGACTGGCATGCTCACCTGGGCAGGGTGTGGGCAGGCGTGCTTGGCTGAACCATGCTTCAGATCTGCTCATACTTGCTTTGGGGGCAAGAGCCGTGTCTGCTATGTTTTTGCCTCATTCTCCAGTGCTTCACCCATGTAGGTGCTCACAAGGCTGGATGGAGCCTCAGGGTGTAGGGCAGAGAGGGATGGGAGACTGGAGGAGATAGGCAGAGATGCCAAAAGAGAGCAAGAGGGCGGAGCAGGCCCTTGCCATCCCCTTGAGCGGCTCATGTAAGAGCATGGTCTCAGTTGACATGTTAAGACGTGGTCTCCCAGAATATGAACGTAGTGTCCCACGATGCGCTGCGTGCTTGATCTCCAGCCTGTTCCCCAGAAGTTCTCCTTCCAATTTTGTCCATCCTCCTCACCCGCCTGATGACCCCAGCTTGGGCCCCTTTGGAAACCCAGGGGAACCAGATATGCACTGGGCCTTGGTGCCTTCACTGCTGGCATTGTGCCTGTCTTTCTTCTCCCGCATCGTCTTCTGTCTGGCCACATACAGCCGTATGCCACCACACAGCTTTGTTAATGTTTAAGACCAGTAGGTGGGGATGTGTTATAAACTTGGTGGCAGAAAATGAGCTTTATTGGAATCCATTCTGAGGATGGCTAGGTGCTGCGCAGCGGGAGGCGCGGGCACTGTGACTATCAGGGCTGGGCCCTGTGTCTCCTCAGCCCTGCTGGGGCCTGTCTGGACCTGTAGGGTGTGAGTACAAGGCTGCCACAGAAACTGAACTCCTGCAAGGTACCACCTCCCACCACCAGGGTCTGGCTCCTTTCCTTGGAAGGTCTCACTTTGTTGCTCTGTGTGTCACAATGTCCACAACACTAAAAAAGATCACAAAACCACCCAGTGCAAGCTCTGTGTGGATGAGGAAGTGGATACCCAGAGGAAGGGGCTGGCCAACTAACTCCACAAGTTAGTTTTGGAACCAGGGCTAGCCCCAGAGCCTACGCTTGTTCCTGGAGTGGCAGCCTGCCCTGGACCACTAGGCAGGTTCTCTCTCCACCACCCCTCTGTCTGCAGCCTCCTGCAGAGAGATCCTTCTAGCCTTGGGTTAGCCTCTGGTCCTAGCAGTCTAGCTAATCAAGTAGTAGTAGGCTTGTTAATACACCCAAGCAAGCACTACAAAAGAAATATGGGACAGACCGCTCGGCTCGAGGCCTCCTCCCCAGCTTCCTGTCAAGAGCTCTATGCCCATTTGCTAGGAGAGGCAAGGCCCCAGATTTGTGACATCCAAAGCAGTTTGAAATCACAGTCCTCAGAATGCAGGGCATCTGGGTTCAAACCCTGACAACCATCAATTTGCTGCATAGCCCCAGGCATTTCATCTCCTCCCTGGATTTTGTTTTCCTCCTCTGCCAGAGGAAAGGAGAAGCGCTATCCCAGCCCCATCCACCTCTCCATGAGGGTCTGGGATGGAGAAGGCCCTGCCTTCCTTCACATCCTCCTCGCCCCCTCCCTCGGGGCCTCAGTAGATGCTAACAAGTGGATCTTCTCCTCCCCATCCCTCCCCAGGGTCTTTCTTAGCCCTTCCCTGCCCGCGCTCACACAGAATTTTAATAAGAAATTAATGAACCAGTGTGTGCATGTATTTTTTAAGAAAATAAATGTCTTTTCCTATTTTCCTTCTCTGTCTTTTTAAATGCAAAGAAAAGTGGGCCTCTTTATTATCAATTCAGCTGGCTCTGCCATCTCCAGCAGTCCCTGAGAGGGGAACAAGGATCACAG